TGCCGCCGCGGTACAGCCCAGCGCCGCCCGTGTCGGCCAGGGACTGGTTGGCCTCGACCAGCAAGGGGAACGCGAGCTCGACGGATTCCGTCGGGACCGACTTGATCGCCGGAAACAGGCAGTGCATGTCGGGCCCATCGCCGATGGGCCGCGCTGGGACGCCGCCAAAGGCGATCTGGTATAATTGGAACCACGTCCCGTCGGGCCGCCACCCCGAGTAGAAGAAGTGCGGGCTGTCGCTGAACCCGGCCGCCGCGCGGTACGCCTGGTTGTGCTGGCCCATGAGCGCCTGGATGATGTCCATGACGCGGCCCAGGAGGTGCGTCCGGCAGCTCAGGGCGGCCGGCCGGACCGGCTTCAATATGCTGCCCTCGGGGATGGCCACCTCGATAAAGTCGTACAGGCCCTCGTTGACGACGCAGTGCGGGTCGAAGACGGCCAATAGATAATACCCGACGAACATCTTGAACATGGTGGGCGACAGGTAAAAGTTGAGCGCCGCGCCGCTCTGCGCCGAGGTGCCGTCAAAGTCGAAGCGCAGCTTGTTTCCGTCGACCTTGGTCATCTTGCACGTCACGGCGTAGGGCCCGACGCCGGCGCCGTCGTCGTCGACAAAGTCGGTGAAGACGGCCTCGCCGTCCCCGAACTGCGTCTCGATCAGCGTCGACACGGCGAGCCGGTTGCGCCGCAGCAGCTCGTCGCAGGCCGCCTCGTACAGCGCCAGGCCGAACCGCTCGATGGTCTCGCAGACGCGCGCCCCGGCCGTCTGGCACGATGATATCAGCGCCTGCACGTCGGAGCGGTACCACTCGGGCATGCGCGAGTTGCGGCACAGCAGCTCCATGACCTCGGCGTTGTACCTTCCGGCCTTGTACAGCTTGACGGGCGGGATCTGCACGCCGTCCTCGTACAGCCCGCTCGACGAGATGGACATGCTCCCCGGGACCTTGCCGCCGACGTCGGACAGGTGGCCAAAGTTGGCGGACCAGCCGACGAGCTGGTGGTCGTAGAAAATGGGGAAGAGGATGATGACGTCGTTGAGGTGGCTGATGGCCCCGCCCGTCGAGTACGGGTCGTTGGTCATGAACATGTCGCCCTCGTCGACGGTGCCGCCCGCCGCGCTCCAGCCCTCGAGGAACTCCCCGATGAAGCTGCCGAACTGCCCGACGAGCATCTGGCCCCGGCCGTTGGTCACCACGTTGAACTCGTCCTGCTGCTCGCGGATGCCGGGCGACATGGAGCACCGGAGGACGAGCGTGTCCATCTCGATGCGGATCGCCTGCAGCGCCGACCCGATCAGCGTCGGGATCAGCGGCGAGCTGGTCACTTCGGCCCTGGCCTCCTCGGGCGAGAAGGTCTTGGTCTTGGCCGCCGCCGAGTCGTCGGCCGGGTGGATGAGAATATTACCAATCTGGTCGATCTCTCCGTAGAAGCCCGGCAGGATGAGCGTGTTGGAGTCCATCTCGGAGACGACGGCCGGCCCGTCGACGCGGTAGCCGGCCTTGTCCAGCGCGGCGCGGTCGTAGTACTTGGCCTCGATCCGCCTCCCCTCTACCGTGATCGTCTTCCTGTCGACGACGGCGGACTCGGGGGCCGCCACGAGCTCGCCGTCCGACTCGGACTTGATCTCGGCAAACACGATCGGCGACGAGGCGTCCGTGGCCGTGGCGCCCAGCCGGACCAGCTCGAACTCGAGCTCGTCGAGGGAGAAGCCGAACTGGAGCTCGTGCGTTGCATTGAACCGCTTCCTCAGCAGCTCCGCGAGCTCCTCCTTGCCCCGGCCGAACTCCTCGGGGGTGAAGGAGATGGCGATGTCGAGTGCTTGTCCCTTGTACCGCAGGTCCGCCTCGTAGCCGACCGTCAGCTTATTTCCGGACGAGGCCCCCGCGAGTGCCGCGCTCATCTTCTCGGTGCACTGCCCCGCGAGGCTCTCCAGGACCTCCCGCAGATCCTCATGCGCCGACTCGGACAGGCCCCGGATGAACGACGCGGACTGCGAGTGGCTCAGCTTGGTCGTGGCGTCGCCCTGGGCGCAGAGCACGCCCGGCGCCCGGGGCACGATGACGGGCCACGCGCCCAGCAGCTTGCCGACGGCGTTGGCGTGCAGCGGGCCGGCGCCGCCGAACGCCACGAGCGCAAAGTCGCGCGGGTCGTGGCCCTGCTCGACCGAGACCTGCCGCAGCGCGCCATACATGGTCTCGTTGACCAGGTTCACGATGCCCTCGGCCGTCTCCGCGGCGCCGATGCCCATCTGGTCGGCGACGCTCTGAACGGCCGCGGCCGCCGCGGCCACGTCGAGCTGGAAGTCGCCGCCCAGCAGCGCCTCGGGCAGGTACCCGAGGACCAGGTTGGCGTCCGTGACCGTGGGCTGCTTGCCACCCTTCTGGTAACACGCGGGACCGGGCGACGCGCCGGCCGACTCGGGTCCCACGCGCATGCTGGCAGTCAGGTCGACGTACTGGGCAATGGAACCGCCGCCGGCGCCCACGGTCCGCACGTCGACCGAAGGGGCCCTGACTGTGAGTTTATCCACCACGGTCTCCCGCCTCAGGGCGGCCTTGCCGTCCACAATGAGGGCGACGTCGGTCGACGTGCCGCCCATGTCGAGGGTGACGAGGTTCTTGTAGGGCGTCTGCTTGGAGATGACGTCGACGACGCCCTGGACGCCGCCGGCGGGGCCGGACATGAGCAGGTTGACGGGCAGCTCGCCGGCCAGGTCGAGGCTGGTCAGGGCGCCGTCGCTCTTGAGGATGCGGATCGTCTTGCTGTCGGGCAACAGCAGCCGCTCCAGGCCCTCCATATACCGCTTCACGAGAGGCTTGACCACGGCGTTGGCGGCGGCCGTCACGGTGCGCTCGTACTCGCCCGCCTCGGGCAGCACGTCGGCGGAGCAGATGATCTCGACGGCGGGGCCGAACTCGTCGCGGACGACGCGCTCCACGGCCCGCTCGTGCTCGTCGTTGACGTACGAGTTGAGCAGGCTGACGGTGATGGCTTCGGGCCCCTGCCGCTTCAGATCCGCCAGGTCCCTGCGCAGCGCGGCCTCGTCAAAGGGAATGGCGACTTTCCCGCTCGGGTCGATGCGTCCTGTGCACTGCACTGTCCGCTCCAGGGGCACCACGGGCTCCGGGGGCACGAAGCTGATCCAGCCCCCGAGACCGCCGGGGATCTGGCATCGCCGGTTCGTCAGGACCTCCTTGAAGCCGGCGGTGACTATCAAGCCAGCTTTGACGCCTTTGGATTCTAAAATTGCATTCGTTGCTGTACATGACCTTGCTCAGCTGATGCTCGTCCAGTTCCAAGGTGACGACACTCACCAACAGTGCTTCCGTGATGAATAAAGGAGAACTCCCCGTCCCAGTCGTACTTTGACTTGAGGAGCTTCCTCACTTTTGTGATTCCGTCCTTGATGCCTACGCTCTGGTCTTCTGGCGTCGACGGCGTCTTTGCCCTGACCGTCTCGCCGTCGGGTGTGATGACGCAGACGTCGGTAAAGGTGCCCTATATGATATGATGTTAGTCAATGTATTTCTGTGTATATCTTGCCTTGATATGAGCCAGCCATCATATACGTACCCCGACGTCTACACCGAGGCGGTAGTCTCCATTCTTTGCTGTAGCCATTTCCGTCGAAGCATGTGTACCTGACCTCAGCTAATTTGGTGATTTTACATTGATATGGTTCAAGAGTCTCTCGTGTGTATATATGTCCCCAGCTGGTGTCTGGGACTGGGGCTTATATGACCTGTTATTTTTCACAAATCGCCAATCATTGCTCGAATAGATAAGACTACTCCCTACCTGAGCGGAAAACTCCCATCTCTTCTACTCTTCGCCTCCTCCTGAGGTCGCATGCCACGAGGCAATGACGGGCAACTGCCGGGTATGTCCTGCTCAGCTCGTAAGGGAGACGAACAAGTCTAGGCAGCATGAAGCCGACGGGTTTAAGGTGAGGGGAAGGGGAGAACGAGCTCTCGATAGGCCCGGTGATCATCGGGCACGGGTATCCGAAGTCTTCTGCCCGCCTAGGTAAGGTAAGGTATGCAGTTCGTTACAAGGCAGAGGGCGTATGGAAATCAGGATGGGCTACGAGGTACTGTCAGCGAGCTGCGCATCATGGCCCTGCCCGGGGGCTAGAACCAGTGTTTTCTGGCCATGACGTTTTCAGCCCTAGTACGCAGCACTTCCTCCGTCCCGGTTCAGACTTGATCGATTCGATCTGCATATCCTGGGACCAATGTCTGTCCCAGGTCCCACGCCGGCGTCGACGGTGAGGATTGGGGTGTGGGGGTCTCGAGTCTTGACAGGTTTGGCGCAAGGCGGGGCCCCGGACAGAATGTCAAAGCGGCTCTCTGCTACCTGCTCAGCATTGGAGTAGCCGCGGCTGTTCGTCTGCATCTATTCCCATTCTTTTCCTCATCAGGCACATCATCAATGCCGACCTTGCTTTGGTATTGAATCAGGCATGCTGCATCCGATATACTGTAGTAAAGCGACCATGCACGGATTGGCCTGGTGAGCAACCGGCTCTGTTAGACAGACGCGGTTCCTCCTCCGATCAGGCCTATCAATATCATCCACTGGTCGTACGATGATCGATCTAGAGATATAGATATATGCGCCGGCGCCTGCCCGTTGTTTATCTAGATCCGGGAATAATGGCATGATCTTTGACATGGCATCGTCTCCATGCCGAGATCCTCTGCTTGCCTTTGCCGGTCCCGTTGGAAGTCATCTTTCCGAACATGGCTTTCGAGCCGTACCGTACCGTTCTGCAAGCAATGAAGCCGGATTTTATTTGAGCCGCCCGGCCAAAGGCTTTCGATTGAATGATCGGTTGACTGAAATCAGTCTTGACAATCAACCAAGAGTCTACCAAATCCCCGTCGCTTCAACCAGGGAAATCGTGAGATCGTGAGCCACCATAAGGGTGGAGAATGCGACAAGCTATATAAATTTCGTTTGCGCCCCATCCAATATCCGATTAGCATGAAGCTAAGTCTCGATTAGTATAGTGGTCAGTATGCCAGCTTGTCACGCTGGAGACCGGGGTTCAATTCCCCGATCGAGAGTACATTTCTTTTGCCATTTTTTCCCATATGGAAGGATTATGACGGGCTTCGTCCTTTTTGCTCTTGCTTCTATTTGTGCTTTTTTTGCATTTTTAGTATGGCGTGCCGACTTGTTTCAAAGGCGGCGGCCTTGCGCAAGATCATCTTGCCCCTGGTGCTGTTGTTGCTGATATGCACATTTTGCACTTCTGATTATAATGGTAACGTTTGATTTTTGAGTAGTATACATCTTATTAGAGTAATAGATTCTACGCGACTAATCTTGAGTTCTTCTCGAACTTTTTACTGCCCGTCTTCTCCAATATATAAATCGAAGTTACAAAGGTAACAAACATTAGCAATACAAGCTAGACAAACCCATTTTTGCCGACCTTTTCGGGTTATGATACAAGAAATCAAGGACTTGTTCGCCAGCTAATAGTAGTAAAAGAGAAGCCACTGAAGAGCAAATAAAACAATGTGTTGCCAACGCCATCGCACCTTTTTATCCTGTGGGACTGCTGCACTAGCATATATGTCCCATGAGTACCCAAACCTGTAAATGCGTGTGGACGACGGAGTCGTAGTCCTATATATAAGTCAACCTAGGAGGCAGTCTTATCCCTGCAGGCTCTTGAAGCGTTCCTCAAAGGCCTTGACCTTCTCGGCCTGGAGCTCCCTCTCCAGCTTTCTGGTCTGGCTCATGACAGCGTCGCGCTCCTCCTGCAGCTGGAGGACTTCAATCTGAGCCGCGTTCATGCGACCGACGACTTCCTCCATCTCCGAGTCAGCCTGCGTCAGGGCGTTCTCAAGCTCGGACACCTTCTGCTTGAGAGCGGCAACTTGTGTCTCCTCCGAGACGCTCATGGCAGGGCCAGAGCGCGTGGTGCTCAAGCGGAAAGACTTGGCAGAAGCCCGCGCAAAGAGAGGCGACAACGGGGACTTGGGCTGGAAGTTGCGCGGCGACCGAGGGTTGCTGCTGAGCCTGGCCAGGTAACCGGTCTGGCCTTCCTTGAGAGCGGTAATCTCCTCCTCGTGGCGGGCAACGCGCTCTTCAGAAGCTGTCTGAGCAGCTACGAGCTGCTCTTCGAGCATGTGCAGGCGGGTCATGAGAGCAGCGATGCGGTCAGAGTTGGCCTTCTGCGCAGCGTCTCCGCGAGCAACCGTCTCAGTAAGACGTTGGCGGAGGTTCTGGTTGGTAGCCAGTTGCTGGCGGACTTGGGTGGAAAGCTCCTCGACGCGTCGGGCCGATTCCGAAAGCTCGTCGGCCAGAGCCTTTTCGCTCTCCAGGTAATCGCTCTCGCCTGCCTTGAGCATGTCGAGCTGCGCCTTGAAAGACGCGGCCTCCTGGACGGCCATGTCCCGATCCGAAATGGTCGAGGAGAGGCTTTGTTCGAGCTTCTCAATGGCGAGCTCGATCTTCTCGTCTTGCGGCGTGGAAAGATCCTTGACACGCTGCAGCGCGGTGGCATACGCGTCTTGGAGTTCCGCGTAGGCGGTGACAAGAGACTCGGACGTGACGGGTGGGCGGGATGAGCCATCACTGCTTCCGCTGTAGCGGGTCATAGCCTCTGGAATGAGAATGTCCTTCTCCTGGAGCAGGCTGCGGAGAGACGAGATCTCCATCTCGGCACGGTCGAGGTCCATCTTAAGACCAGCAAGACCCTTTTCCACCTGCCACTTCTGCTCGAGCGCTTCCTCGGATCGGCGGCGCAGGATACTTATCTCATCGCGCAGCTTCGAAACCTCGCCAATGAAGCCGGCCTTCTTGGGCGAGCCGCTGAGAAGACGGTCTCGCTCCATCTCAAGAGCCTTGATCTTCTTGTCGTTCTCTCGGTTCTGGTGCTCCTGACGCTCGAGTAGGGCCTTCAGGGCACGGTGGAGGGCATCTCGCTGCTCCTCAACGTCCTTGAGCCTGTCCGTCAGGTTAAGTGGGTTCGGAATGTTTACGCTAGGAGGACCCGTGATGGAAAGCCGGTTAGGCGTAGTATCGCGAGACTCTGCTGTCCTGACCGACTTTGATCTCGAAAGGCCAAGGCCACCAGGCGACTTGGAGAATTTGCGTGTGGGCGGCGGGCCGGTGATGGAGTTGGACCGAGCCAGCCTGGAAGGCACAGCTGAGAAGCTATCGTCCTCTGCAATGCTGCCCATGTTTGCGCTGTTTCTGGGGTTTCCCATAGTTAGGCTTAGGCTGTTTCTGGGGTTTCCCATCACCATGCTATTTCTGTTGCTTTTATTGTTTGTGTTGTTTGAGCCGGCTTCCTTCAGAGTCGTGTTCTCCGTCTTGAGTGCCTGGAGTTCCTGTTGCATCTTGGTCGCCTCGTAGTTCATCTTCTCCAGCTCAGAGGCCTGGCTCTCCAGGCCATCGACGCGAGCCCGCAGTTGCGGGACGATCTCATCACGCAGGTTGTCACGCTCGTTGGCAGCACTCTCCAACTCGCCCTTGAGTGCAGAAAGCAGATCCTCAAAGCTGTCCTTGATCTGTCTTTCGTCTGCCAGCTTCCTGCGCAGAGACTCGCAGGTGTTCTCCAGCTCTTGGATCCGGCCACTAGCGTCCATGCTGTTCATTTGGGCAAGGTCGACCTGAGAGGCTCGCTCGGAGAGCTCCTTGATCTGGGTATCCAATTCCGCTCTCTTGAGTCTCTCATCTTGCACCTTGGTGGTCAGCTCCATTCTGATTTGAGCCTTCTCCTGCTCTGATCTCCTTTGGATCTTCTCGATCTCGTCCCTGGACTGTTCATATTCGCTGAACTTGGCCGAGCTGTATCCGGAATCGGAAAAGTAGTCACTAGTCCGCTTGTTCGCCGCGGCAGTCGGGTTGTCTCTCTCTGCCTGCAGTCTGTCGACGAGGTCTTCCAGGTCCATCTCGCGCCGGATGGACGCGGCCAACTCGGTCGAGATGGCCTTGAGCTCGTCCTCCATCTCTTCGATCTCGGCAGTCGTCGCTGCTGATAGTGGTGGTGGTGTCGCCAAGTAGGAGTCGACGTAGTCTCTGGGATTCGCAGCTCCGTTGTAGGACACTAGGGGGGCTTCAAGAAGGGTCGTCTGTTTGAGCGTGGCCGGGGATGCATTGGGTTGAGTGTTTGTTCTTGAGAACCCGGTGGACGGGGGGATGGGCGAGAAGCTTTCCTTGTCGGAGGACTCTGGTGTGGTGGGCGACGGTCCTCCCCAACCAAAGAAGGAACCAAGCTTGGATGCCGAACCCGGCGACTTGGGCAGTGGCTTGTTGGTGTCTGGAGTCTTGAGGTCGTTCTGGCTTGATATCGAGGTTGTCCTGGTAGTGTCGACAAGGGCCAGCTGTGGTGGTGTTTTCCGTGCGGCGTTCAATGACATATTAGAGGTATTAGAATTAGAATTATAGGAGGAGTCGGTGTTATATCCGTCCAGCAGGTTCAGAGGATCCTCGTCATCCGTATTGGCTTCAGCCACCGATCCGTCACGCGAGGACTGTCCACTGGGCTGTTGCAGCCCAGCAGTGAGTTCTGTTTGAGGAGCTGCAGGGTTGTGGTGGTCTGCCAAGGTGGGATGTTTGACCTCCTCGCCCGCTATGACAGCCGACTCGGACGACATTGGCCGAGACGGGGAAGGAGAGCGGACCGGGCTCTCTTCAACTCTGGGAGAGTTCCTAAAGGTTCACTCGAGTTGGCATTTTGTTTCGAGCATTTTGGCGACTGGATCGAAAAGCAATGAGACATTGACTTACCCTGTATTGTTCTTCGGCTTGACTACCGACGCCACTTTGGCCCTTGGGAATGATAGGCCGGCAACGGTCTCTATGATCGACGCCTGTTCAAAACCGTACACGGTAGGACTGTCAAGAGAGAACGACCGCGAGGTCCGCTGCTCTAGCCGAGCCTGATCACGTTGGATGGAGAGGTAGGCGCCAGACGAGAACCTGGTAGCAACGGGCGAGGCCGACACGGACAGCGGCTTGCGTCGAATCGCAGGCCGGGCGGGCGGCGGGCGGGCGATCTCGCTGTTGATGGTGAGCTTCCTCGGGTTCTTCGACGTCGATGACGAGTGGGCATGGGCAGGGACGTCAGGCACGGAGGTATTTGGTGGTTGAGAAGGGAGAGGTTGAGAGGAGGAAACATCAGATGAAGCATTAGGAGTCTCAGATACAGAGGTGACGGAGGAGGGAGCGGAGGGGTGGTGGTAGTAGTCCTCCTGGTATTCGTCGAGCTCCTCATCGACGAGCTCGTGCCGCCGGTACTGCTGCTGCTGCTGTTGCTGCTCCATGTCGACGACGGTACGTAGCAGCAGCCAGAGCAGAGACGAGACAGACGAGACAACAGACGATTACTGCCCCTTGTTTACTAGCGGACCAGGCAATAGTCGAACGAAAAGGGAATGTGGAGGGCAGATGATCAATTGCCTTCGCTAACGGCAGAGATACATTGGCTGGCTCTCTTTCTCTCTCCAGGCTCTGCTCTCTGCTTCTTTTGGGAAAGGGGAAAAGAATGAGCGTGTCTTGGAAAGTGAAAGACGGGATGAGCGCACCGCCGCAGCGAGGACAGAGCAGAGAGGAATTGGGAGAATCAATCAGCTTGTCAGCACCCGCACCGCACCCCGTTACTGTTCAATCTGCCGGGCCATGCCATTGGAGCATTGGGGGCCTGCTAGATGGGGAGACCCCCCCAGAGGACGAGGCCGGGGCTGCGATTGGACAGGAGGCCATGGGCCCGAGTTGCAGTCCGCCATTTCCAGCCCACTGATAGAACTGATAGACCCCTGGACTACCCATGGACCGCTGTTCTTTTACTCCTCCAGGACTCGCGCCAAGGGGGTGCCAGTGGTGCCAATTGGGGGCGGCTCCCCCAGCCAGTGCCAGGGCCCAGGGGACTCCGCGGCGGCTCAGGTGGGGACTCTTGGGTGATGTGACGAGATGAGATGAGATGCGCAATTCATTCTCGTGCGAGAGAGCAGAGGGCGCGCTCAGGAACCGCCCAGGAACGGCCCCAAGGGGTGGAAAATGCGCAACTGACATGTCCTAGCGCTTCCCTTGGGGCGAGAAACCGCTG